ATTCCCTTGACTTTCATAACACATTGCCCTACAAAATAACCTACTACTAACCACAGAACGTAAAGTTCCGGGAGTCCGAATTTCCTTTCTGTGAGTAGCTATCATATAAATTAGACTGTAAGCTGACTGACTACGGTTTAGACGGCCTGTATTGAAGTCCAAATGTACAGATGTAACAAAGACAACAAAGCACGACAAATGACAGACCTGACCTCTCGTCGGAGAGGACGCCACATGATGTAACGGCTTGACCAAAGACAAACTCTGGCCATGAGTCCAAAAAGGGGGTCGACACCAAGACGAAATGGCTGACTGTCAGTCGTAAAGAAACTTGGACTTAGTATTGTTAGACCTAAACTGAGTTTCGTCTGCGTCACTGGCTTGGTGGCAGAAGGAAAACAAACATGCACTATGCAAACCAAAAATGTTTCCGACAGAGGAACTGAGACAGCGAGGCACAAATTACCACCGCAGAAAATAATGTTTATAACATCGGCAGTATATCCTTCCAACCCTACACTACTCTTTTCTCTGACCCCCTTGCATTTTACTTCTAACGGACGTAAAACGCACACACTCATCCCGACTACTGTACTAGAGCTTTCTTTTCAACATTAATATAACCAGTCCTCGTGTCGGCCCATATAAAATTTCTTCGTTCAGTCACTGCAATAACAGACGAAGAGTGTAGTTATGAACAATAATAGACTATAAAAATCGTCCAAATAAACAATTACAAATTATAAACAGGCTACATTTTTAGACACAGTCATCTTTGCACAACACTTCTGTTACTGGATACAATTTGCAATTATGACAAAATATGTCGAAACATGTTGCCCACAAAAAATCATACAATTGTTCGTGCAGACCGTCATGTATTGAGTACAATGCAAAGCGATGTTTTAGTATAGGACTAAACTAGTAAAATATGAAGCTCGCCAGTAAGTAATCTTCTTTATTCTCTTTATAGTTCTCTTTTTCGTCATTAGCACTTTTCTTTCAAATACCTTCAGCCCCTGTTATTTTAGGGGTCAGTACAAGTTTCGCCCCTATTAAACCAAGGGTCGGTAAGCTATTCATTACTGTGGGCCGCACTGTCTACTCCTGTCATAGTCGAGGGCCACAGAAAATAATTAATCTTTAACCTAAAGCGTATATACATAGCTGGTATTTACATACAACGGAGTTTACTGTCTTAGCATTCAAACAGTCTTGATTTAAAGTCATTGTCAAATTTTATAAAACTTCGGTTGTTTTGTTAAATGTCACATGGTTTGAACTACGGAAAAACGTGCCTTTCCGCAATAACACAAATCTAACGGAATAGGCCTACTCCTCACTTACAGAAAATGTTTGCCTCTCTAGAATTGGATAATTCTTAAATCATGTGACGGACGTATGAAAAGATTGCGAGGGCAACCTGTGGCCCGCAGGTTGCCTACCCCTGTATTAAACAAACGGCAGGCTCTCTAAATTTGCTCAACTCACAAATACGTTTCTAAGACGCTAAAGAGATGGTCACTATTATTTCGTCAAGTCCCATGTTGAAATAACGAAGCAGGCCTACAATAAAAAGACTGGACCAGTTCTTACAGGGTGAAAGCTATTGGAACTTTCTCCTCTACTGCTGCGTGTGGTCTGTATTGAACGGAAGGAACACTTCCCAATGAGGAGATGTTTTCTTATTCATTTAACACGGAAGTAAGCGAGACTGCTTCACGTCACTTGTTGATTGGAAGGAACAGAGACACTGAGGAGTTAGACGTAACACGTTACTACGCACGAAGGACGTAACTGCTTCCTGCAAAGCTCGTAAAACTAGTTGCATTGGATTTCCATTCGTGGAAGACGGAATAATCTTCTGATAACGGTGTAGAAATCCTCGAAATTTGATAGCAGTAAATACACAGAACTCAGCAAAATAAGCAATTTACTTCGCTGACCAGACGACTCCCACTATAGTTACAGTCGTCACAAAAGTTAGTAATTTACCCCTTCTTGACTAATTCTTGAATAATTTATAATCTTACTCCACCACTAACAAGAATGGAAAGGCGTAGTATTTGGAGAACACTAACGTTCAAAATGTGTTCTTTACGTCAGCTGAGTGACAAAATATTTATTTTCTCATATACATTTATTGCAATACTTTATGTAAAAATCTGCCTGTACTCCTGTGCCCCATGAAAAGTCTAGCTAGTGGCATGTTTATTATACTCACACTAAAACAACCGATATCAGTTTATATCGTAACATACCGTTTTATGGGTCAGTTTATGTTCTGTCGCGTTACCATTCTTAAGGAAGATTATTATCGCACACTTAGTAGCAGTGTCCATTCTTGTGTACGGCAAGTGAAAGTTTTTCCGTGAACATGAGCAACGCGATAAAGTAACTGAACTTTCTTCTACGAGGCCATGCATTTCTCCATAGCCATCCGTTAGACCAAGTAGATTAGTATTTCTCTCCCGGTAGTGGGAGAAATTACACGTTCGTCGTGTTCTAGAACGATACAAAAAGATTTACTACAGTTTTCTTAAAGTTTTTTCAGCTTTAATCGAATCTTGGAAGGGCTATAGTTCTGCTTTGGAGAAAAAAGTGTCATACTTATAATACTGAAGTTCTCTTAGTTGTTTCTAGTGGTTCGTTGTTTTCATTTTTAAAGTGTTTAGTTAAAATACTCTGACGTATCTGTGAAGAATTTCTCAACATTTTAAACATTTGTCGGTAAGTATAACACATTTAATCAGATATGAGATGTTTGCCTGACTGAAACAAAGTTTATACTATGTACCTATTGAAATAAGATAATTCTTTGCAAAGCTATAAACTCGAATGAGTGACTCGGAGCAGAATCCGATAGTCACGTTTCTTGCAATGGGGCAATACAACTTGCTCTTGGGCAGAACCAGGTGGTTTCTTGACGAACTGAAAGGCCAGTCAAGTTCTGAAGGAAGACCCTGCTCCGTTAGTTGGGTAGTTAACTATACACAGCTGGCTCACGTACTAACAGCTCTGTGTGCATTTTAGTCAGCGTAACATCGTTAATCCCATGTACATTCAACAGCTTACGACAGTAATTCTTCACCTATTCAAAATACTGCAGGGGAATTTGTAAGCAGATCACAGTTCTTATCTTCTACCAAGTGAGTCCCAAGGTCGGTAACCCTTCTTAAATTAAATAATGTCTCTGTACAGGTCTCTAATATTTCTGTTCTTACTTTGTTTCAAGCTCATTGATATGTTCTTTCAGACATTCCTGTTCCTCGGTCATAAGAGTTGTACTAGCAACCAGTAAATAATTTATTTCTTTAATTAGTTAGGTAATCAGTCAATGGACCGCCTAATTAGTAACATGGTATCACAAAGATGGTTCTCGAAACGCTGGTGTTTTCTCCATTAAACCACCTGACACGGATGGTAACCCGAGAAGAATTCCTTTTCTTAGTCGACGTGAAAGCTTCAGATCATACAACATGGTATCACGTTTAATTAAATTACAGTGGATTACAAAGCAGAACTTTCTTGTCACGATGGGCAGACGTTAGGTCTATAGTTCCACTGAGTTCGAAAATGACCTCAAAATGTATCATCCACCAACTGATGATTTACGCCTGCATTACGCCTCTGTGGCATCCCCGTACCAATGCCCAGCACCAATCAGTCAGCAGCATGCTAAAACTCCATTAGCCGTGGTATCGCTTAAACATTACAGATATTTATTTTTTGACGAAAGAGTGCTTCATGCCCACCGCGATCAGTGCCAAGTATGTTGGGGAAAAGCCGAGATGTCAGTCCAAAACATTAACTGTTAATGAGAGTCTGCATCCAGTCAAAGACTTTGTACGAACTGAGAAGTTCTTCGAAAAGTGACTCGTAATTTTCTGCAACAGACAAATTAACAGTCTCATCTTTAAATGCTATTCAAGCCCGTCTATCGATTTCGCTTAAAGTTTCACCGAAAGCGTTGTCTCTATTATTTCTCTAATTTGATAGCCCACAAAAATCTCATCTTTGACTTCGCCTCGCAGACACTCGGAAATGTCAGTATTTCAAGTACACAAATTTACTGTAATTTTGATTCACATCCTTAACGAAAATTTTCATCTGATCAAGCTTAATATGCAACGGTGGCAAAAAAAAAAAACCCTATTTTGACAAGCAGTGGTTGACAGGTGATTTTCTTTACACTGGAATCAACAACTTCCCGTGCTCGGTCGTCTCATTCACAGACGAAACAATAGAGCTCAGTTTCAATGAGTCGACAAATAAGTGTTATTCATTTAGATAATTTTATGGCCACGGGCTTCAAGGACTGCTTATCTGAAAAAAAGAGTGTCTTTGAAGCTAGCGAAACAATAGAAGCAAGCCTAATGCGTTTTTAATATATTTTTTTAAGATTCCAACCTTTTAAACCAGAGGCCAAAATTGGGGACTGATTTTCTGGCAAATTCATATCATGGACTAGATAGCTCCAATCAAATGAGGCTCTGTTGATGGACAATATAATTCAAAGAGTGGATCAATATTGTCCTATTGATTTCCCATCAGTATACCAATCTGAGTTTCGTCATATATTTTACACCACTTTCATTTTCATCACCTACATTCCATAGAAACTTATTCTGAACAATTTTTTTAGACACTAAAAAATAATTAGACCACTTAACTTTGGGCATTTATCATTTTGGAAAACAACGTTCGAAGTTCGTAAATCATACATTTACAAACAGGACTGATGAAATGTTAAATCAATATGAGAGTGGTTTTAACCGTTGTTCTGGGGGGCGGCAGAATTGCGTAAATATTCGAAAATTCACAATTACACATTCAGCACAGTACATGCATTTCAATCCTTCTCTAGTAGATGGCAGATGTTTCCCCAAGTACTGCTTCCGCCATGTTTTTATTGTAACGATCCCTTTTCCCTTTAACCCCTGTCGCTGGAAAGGACCAATAAGAGACATGATCGAAATGTGACGTCACGAATCACACCATGCACCGTTAGGAACACAGGAAAGGGTAGTGCCGTTTCAACTCCGAAGAACCCGTTACGTCATTTGCCATCCACACCCACCCCAAACGGACTTTCTTTCATCTTCCGCAGACAGCGGCCGATATTAGTCAGCTGTTAAAATTTGGAAGGATGCCAAGAAAGGAACTCACGCCCTTGAAGTAGCTCCGACGCCTGAAAATCCATGGGTAGTGATGTGACGTAAATATTTTTGACACTGGGGGTACTTCTGTTATAAATTAGTGATATAGTGAATTATTTTATATCAATTATTTCTCTTTGCATAAGTGAAGTGATTTATTGCTAGAACAACGGTGTCAAGCCATAAGGGAGGACGACATTGAAACAAGTACGTGGGTTAAATATTCACATTAGCTATAGTATGCATGAACCACTTCGTGTTATCTGTTAACTGTAACAATTATTACATAATAACAATTTGCGTCAATACATTTTTCAAAAGGCGCATGGATTACAAGTTGTCAAAACACAATACGATGTGTTGCATGACCATTCCTAAACATAAATAACCCTATGTACACACGCCTTCAAAGCGCCATACATTTTCGTAAATAAATGTGAAAGAAACTTTAAAAAAAATATTTTGTAGTGACGTTAATTAGGCCTACTATAATTGTGTGTCGTGTTTTGTATGGGGTATATCTTGATTCCCCCCCCCCCTCAGAGATTATGTAACAACAGGCTATTCGGGAGAGAAGGCTCATCGGGATACAAGGAAAAGTAGACGAGGGTATAAAAAATTACACACCGACGAGCTTCATAATTTGTACTTCCTGTTCGTAAGAAGGTCCCAACCTAAATCGGTAGTCTGAGTTCAACAAACATTATTAGAATAGTAAAATAGAGGTAGGTGAGATGGGCGAAAGCCGTAACACGCATGGGAGAGGTGAAATGATGCAAACTATTAGTTGAAAAAGCTAAAGGGAAGAGACCACGAGAGAGAAATATGAGTAGATAAAAGGATAATATTAAAACTGCTCTTAAAATTAAAATTTAAGACATAAACTGGATTTATAAGACTAAAGCCAGGGTAATAAACATCTGACTATAAAAGGCGGGGAATTTTTTGACAAGCTGAGCATCTATTAGCTTATCAAGGACTCTGTTCCATAAATAATTTAATGGGTTTGTTATAGTTGCCTATTACTATTATTATTGTTGTTGTAGTTGTTGCTATACATCCATGTAAGGTCTCTATTTCTATCCTCAAGAAGATCTGAAGATGAGAATGTGCTAATAGTAAATTACGGTACATTGGTCACAGAAACGCTAATCTCTTGACCACAACTCCAGCTGGCGACATCTAACAAAAGAATACCAGCGCCTCTTCGAGCAAGTGGATTTGAGGCCAATGCCGTGGTTCGATTTAGTTCAAATTAAAGAAGGATTTGAGACTTTCGCGGCGAGTAAAATCAATAAAATCTTCTCAGGCAATCAGCCGCGTTAACTGGTTACCGTAGTAAACCGACGTTTCGGGAACAAACTCTGTCCCCAACTTCAGGGTTCTGATGTGACTGGATCCAGGTAAGACAGAGTTTGTTCCCGAAACGTCGGTTTACTACGGTAACCAGTTAACGCGGCTGATTGCCCGAGAAGATTTTATTAAAGAACCGGTGTTCGATTTCATGTCACTCCCTGATGCCACTTGAAACTCGGATGGTTAACCCAGGTTGTCTGTTATAACTAGAATTCTGAGT